CTGTGGCTCAAGTGGTAGAGTGCTAGCCTTGAGCTGAAGAGCTGAGGGACAGCGCCCAGGCCCAGAGTTCAGGCCCCATGACCAGACCCCAAAAAAGTTCAAGAGACACTCATCCCAATCAATAGCTGGACACAGTAGTATGGAACTGTCATCCCAACTATAGTTCTAATTATTAAGAATAGGATTGTGGTCAAGGCCACCCCAGAGAAAAAGGGGAGACTGTCTCAAAAATAATGCAGTGTAGCTCCAGTGGTACAGCATCTGATTAGCAAGCCTGAAGCCCTCAATTCTAATACCAATATTTCCAAAAAAATAAAGTAATCCAACTGAACATATAATTTTCTTTAACGGTGGTGAAGCAGCTGCCTGGAACAAAGTAGTATATGAGCCATAGTACTAAGCAAATAACAATACAAGCCTATTTTTCTTAATCTTTAATACAATTTCTTAAAATTCCTATAAAGTAATTTCTTATAAAAGTTTATAATAATGCATAAAACTTTCAAGGATGCAGCAGGATCATATGTTTGAAAATGACATGGGCTACACAGTGAGACTTTGTCTTAAAAATAAGATAAAAAAGAGGAATTGGCACTATGGCTCAAGTGGTAGAGCACAAAGAGGCTCAGGTACAGTGCCCAGGCCCTGCAGTCAAGCCTTGGGACCAACAACAACAAAAAAGTATAAAATTAATTTCTTTGGGTGGGAATATGGCTTAGTGGTAGCGTTAGCCTAGAATAAAGCCCTGGGTTCAATTCCTCAGTACCACATAAACAGAAAAGGCCAGAAGTGGCACTGTGGCTCAAGTGGTAGAGTGGTACTATACTGTGTTTTATTATCTATTTCACACTGAAAATTAATGATTTATGCCTTAGCATCATAAAAAAGAACTGAAAATCCAGAGAAAACAAACTTGAAAAAAAGATTTTACTTTCTTCTTTATATTTCTATAAAATTTTTAGACTTTGTCTAAAATTTTTAGACTATAAGTCAATTTATGCCCACAAAAAAGGCAAAGTTTACCATAGAAAGAGAAGTATTTTCATATAGCAAAAGTAGGGATTGTCAGGTCCAAGGGTTGTATAAATCCCATAAGATAATTAGTATATGACAAGAAAGACAAGTATGTTTTTGTCAGCTGCCCCTCAAACTCATCTGCCTGCACTGATTTTTTTTTTTTGGGGGGGGGG